AATAGCCAGGATAATTTTCAGCCTATTTAAAGGTCCAGTGTGTAACATTTAGGAGGATATTTTGGCAGAAATGGAATATAATATTCATAGGTAGGTTTAGGTATGTAAGCGGCCACCACAGTTTCTCCTACATGCTTGAGTCGAGGTGGTTCAGTCGGTTGCAACCAGAAATCTCACCTAAACTTTATTAAACTAAACTAAAACTAAAGGGCACTGTTTTAGTTTTTTGTGTATTTTGCTACCAACTACACCGCTTGACGCCACTAAATCCTACAAACTGGAGTTTTAAGTTTTTATTGTATGCCTCAGCAGACTTCAAGCTATTGATCATGTCTGATTTCTGTCATCAATAAAAAGGACTGTTGCAGATTATTTTGCATAGAAATCATCTCAATTGGTGGGTCTTTAAATAAAACACATCCTACCTTTTGAGTGCAGAGTATGTATGTACTGTTGCGGACAAGAAAAGTTACCTCTTGCCATCTCTTAAACCAAATCTCAATGATAAAACAGGTTGAATTTCACCTACAGTGAGATGAAGTCTTTCTGCACGAGGATGGCAGAGACTCCGCAGAGTTTCCACAGTATGTGGTGGTGGGCCCAGTCCAACAAGACGTCCAGAACCCCTGTCCACATCTGGCCCCATGCAGACAGGGCCTTAGGAGTGCCATCGCTAAAGCGGCTCAGTCTCCAGGGTCGGTGGGTGAGAGCCGTGACCACGTTGGGGTCAGTCTGACGCATCTGGGGACCAGAAGAGGTCAGAGGTCAATAGATTGCTGTAAGAATTAAAAGGGTCTGGCTCTTCAATCAGAAAGTCATATTCAGTCGTATTTTTTGTTACCTTGTAGATGACTTTGGGTTCAAAGGAGGAAACAATGCTGGAATTGTAAAGGACGGGGAACTTCCTATACATCTCGTGAAGCACTGATACAGCCTGGACAAGTTAAAAACATATTAATATTCCATAAAAACAGGAAGAAGAATAGAATATTATTTAAATATCTAATAGTAAACCAACTTATTTAAAGAGATTACTGAAATGGAGGCCTCGCACAAGGATCAAAGCTGAGGTCAAAGAAAGGAGGTAACATCATTATTCCAAATATGCATGTATCCATATATTTGTCTTTTTGTCCGTCAGGTTAGGTCCTTCTATTCAATACCTTATCAGGTTGACCTTTGACATCAAAGAAGATGGTCAGCTGGTGTCTGATGCATTCCTCCACTGCCTCCTGCAGAGTTGGGACCTTTTCTCCACTGAATTTGTCCCTGCCGACAAAAAAACAAACAACCAACACAGCAGGGTTTTTTTAAGGCAAAACTGAACTAACGCTCTTGCTGTAACACACTTTTCATGTCTGCTTTATTTCAAGTCTTTAACATTTTTGATAAAAGTGAGTCAGAGAGATACTTTAAATGGTGACATATTTGTGAAGGGCAAGGGATCATTCAAATGAAAACTATATTTCTGCAACACAGACTTTTTAGAATGAAAAGCTTAATTTCCAATCCAGAATGTCTTATTTCGAGGACACACTGCTCTTAGCTTGTTATCTAATCATTGAATCACAAGCTTAGACTAGCTAAAAAGAGTGTTTGATAGAGAGCATACTTCAGCCTGTGTTGAACAGCAGCATCAAGTCTTCTAAGTTGGACAAACTGCAGTTTGTTAACTGGTCCAGAGCCATTGGTGGTGCGGTCCAGAGTCTCATCATGCATCAGTACGGGCACTCCGTCGGCGGTGAAGCTCAGGTCCAGCTCCACTCCAGTAGCCCCGTTCCTACTGGCCTATAAGCAGATCACAAAATGTAAATGTACTGACAGATAATACAACATTTTTGGCTTGGGGTTTCAAACAACAGGAAACATTGAACCTACATAAGTAAGAAAGTGTGGCACAGTGAGTCATTGCTATTATTAAACATTATGGATATATTCTCAGTTTCTGTGGGCAGTGTGAATGTTCTCCAGTGCTACCGACACACAAACATGACAGATGAAGAGGGTAGAGACAAGCAACGCATTCAAATGTTTGTTTGTAGGACACCGAGTTAAAAGAGTTCACAGTTTTTATCAAAAGCAGGATGCTGTCCTACAATATCAGGTTAGGGTTAGATAGGCTATAAAAAGCAAACAGTCACACTAAAACACTGTAAAAATGAAAACATGAATAAAGCATGATTTATACTTCTCCTGCAGAGGAAAATATTTAATTTTCTACAATTAGCTCCACATTGATTAACTAAAAGATTGACTAATAGATTTTACTTTTGATATACTGTATTTTGTAGTTCTGTAATTTGATTAACATTTTGAGTACAGGACTTTTACTTTTAATTGAGTTTTTAGACCACGGTACTTACTTTAAATTAAAGGATAGCTTGATATAGCAAAGACACCTAGAGGGGGACACTGTATTTGACGCCAGTGGACCATAAAATCAGCCACATCTTGCACAGATATTGGTTTTGGTCAGTGACAGTTTGATCAGACAGGCAGCGGAGAAAAATGTGTGTGATCCAGTGTCTGATAACATCTACAGTCTTGCAATAAAAAAAAAAATCTTGTACAGTCCAAATTTCAACCCCCAGTGAAAAATAGATTCAAGAACAGACCCCCTGGGTAATCTGCATGTCAGGAGGATGAACAGAACTGTCACAGGAACATTTAAATGTAACGCATATGATGCAAACAGATGTAGGTGCGATCCAGAAATACTTGTCCATGGGTTGGTAATATCAAAAA